TTAAGTGTATTATGCCACGGTCATATATTCACGGATAATGCCACGGAAGAGCTACGTTCAAATCGTATTAAGAAGTAGCCATGATAATTATGCAAGGATAAAGTGTAGCTGTTGTAAAAAATGAACATAAATGATATTTTGATGCAACTCTAGTTATGCAGAATTCCGTATGTATCAAACTCTAGTGCCTTGCAAAATGAATTATAATACATAAAAATAAATTTATACAGGAAAATACATACAGATATACAGTACGATTTAGATTGCAAAGATTAGAAAATACCACAGAACTTGCAGCCCTTTGATTCTTTATAATATTATACATGCTTATAGTAAGCTCAAGGATTATTTACATCTGCGTTAAACAACAGTCAAAATCGTTACAAGCCCTAATTTAGAATAATATGGTTTTCTTCAGGCCGTTAACATATAAATTCGCCGTGGCTGAAGGGTTTTCGCGCTCGCTTGGGAAGCGAGAGATCCCTAAGCGAGAGATCTGGAGTTCAAATCCCAGTAAAGGCAACTCATTTATTTTTCAAATTGTTTAAGTCAAATAAACAATGGTTTGAATATCAGTGTTGCAATTAGTCTTATAGCCAATTTACTACAATAAAAACGCTGGCACTATACATATACATGTAATCTCACAACCTGTACCTTTATTACATTATGAGACCCAAACAAAGTCAGCGCTTTCTGTGCTTATCAATTTAGTACCGAGTAAATTTACATATGACATGTATCTATTGCATAGATTTCCATTTTAAGTGCACCAGTTCGTTGATGAAAGAATTTCAATTTTTATGATTTTAGACTATAAAACCTCAGTTGAGTTCCTTTAAAGAAAGCAGTGGTTAAGTTGATATGGTATCTGTTTTCCAATGCAAGAATCATAGTTAAGAGTCCGATTGCGGTCTCATCACATAACTTAGGTAGTGTTTTTTTACGGAAACGGAACCAAACAAGGGGCTAATAAAGCTTAAATATTATATAAAAACAAGCAGAAATAATATCTTATGCAATCTTCACGAGACAGGTCTCTTTGATATTTATAATATATGATATCTAATTATGCCTTTCATTAGCTTCTTATATACAAATGTGTTGTTCACATCTAGTGTTGGATATTGAAGAGTGGGACTGGTTATTTTGGGCAGTTATGACAGATTTCCTTGAAGAATATCATGATAACAAATAATTCAAATGGGGAAATGTAAAATTGGTATAGCAGGTCTTAAACATAGGTTTTATGGTACTTTGATGTTTTATGTATTTTTTTATATCCATTCATGATAGATAAGGCTTATTGATTGTAAATAGGTATTTATGTAAACATGTTTTTTTTAAGATTTCAATCTTATTTATATTTCGTATTTTACTTTGCACAATGTTTTCCTATATTGATATTGAACACTTTAGCAATGATTAAACTTAAACAGGTTATACTGTTATTTGTATTTTTTCTGTTTTGTAATTGATTACCATGCATGTTATAGTGTAATTTGAATCTTAAACATAAATGAGCTGCGTCATGACAAAACCAACATAATGGTTTTGCGACCAGCATCGATCCAGACCAGCCTGCGCATCCCCGCAGTCTGATCAGGATCCATGCTGTTCGCTTTCCAACCCTAATACAAGTAGTGAAACTGACAGCGACCAGCATGGATCCTGATAAGACTGCGCGGACGTGCAGGCTGGTCTGGGTCCATGCTGGTCGCAAACGCACTATGTTGGTTTTGTCGTGACACGGCTCAAATAACAGTAACTAGTTTACGACAATTTTTATAAGATTTATTTATCATTATTGAATAGGTTGGGTTATATCAGAACAAGTTTTACTGTATTTTGATATGTTTTATGACTCTTTATTTAATGTTTGTGCATAGATAAGACTCAAATAACGATATTTTTTGCACAGTTTGTAAATCAGATTTTTTTGCATATCTTCAGAAACCTATTTTTAAACACGTGTAACATTTCCAAGTATTTTAAAACACTTTAAACAGAAACCGGGTTATACTATTTATGTTTTTTTATTTCATTTTGTTTAAGACGATTAAATTTCGGTTACATAAATAATACCAGACTTTTAACTTTGCTCTGCCTTGATGCGATGAAGAAGAAACTACAACTAATTTGACATATGTCACTTTACGCAGAAGACATTCGCGTGACATAAATGATCCCGCCTAATCCGGAAGTTGTTTTATATCTTGCAGCAGACGATAATATTTACTCTTGTTATGCATGTTTTTTTGTCTTTATGGGTTTCCTTAATTTCGCTTTCGGGATTGTTATTACGTGTATATCTTTATTAGAGTAAACAACCATGCCATTCATATTTGTTTTAAATTTATCTTTTATGGACGGACTTTTTTCTGCACAGTAAATATTTTCTATTTTCTGTTTAATTTGTTATCTTGTTGGGCAAACATTTGTTTTAAGGAATAGTTATTGTCACTTTTATAAGTTATTAAACTCTTAATGTGGCTAAATTTCATTACATTGAAGTTGGAGAAAAATAGTTTTCATGTTGTATTTGCAAAAGGGGATTTGCTTCTTCCCTTGCAACCAGTGCAGACCAAGATCAGTGTCGTCTGCTCACGGTTTCGCCATTATGTGGGTAAGAATTTGAATTTTTTCCTGAGATGATGAGTGGTTATGTCGAAATTTGAAGATGGTCATGTCCATTTGTGATATTTAGCGTGGTAATTAAGGGTTAACTATGCGTAATATTAACGTCAAAACTTACATTATACAAGTAGCAAGTACATAACATGTAGATATTAATGGGCGAGAACATGTGAAATGCGCTCCCTTTTTATAATATTACTATACTTTTTATAAGCTTAATCTTTATCACGTATTCTTTATATAAAAGAAAACTTGCATGTGAAATAAAACGAATCACAAATTCCAAGCTAACTTTTTGAAGGTTTACATTTTAAATTTTTGGAATCATAAAGTTGTCAAGTGCTGTACGAACAACAGTTTTACAGTTATCCTTAATACCTTATCCATCGTTAATTCGTTGTTTTAATGCTGTTATGAAAAAATGATTATTGTAATTTTTGTTTTCTTAGAGACTTGTTATCGATGATCATTATTTAGATGTTTGAGGACCTGGTTATATTTATTGTTCTTGTTTTTAAATGCATGTTAATTATCGTAATAATATATTCGAAAATATTTTTTTATATAATCATAGTGTCTTGAGAAGCTGATTTCCGAACTATATGGTTAGTTAGAATCTATATATCACTGCTATTTTGAGATTTGAGCAGAACAAATGTTTGCTTTAAAATACTTATACTAATAAAAAATATTTTAATACCATTTAAAACGTAACTTTTTCTGATTGAAAGTTAACAGTTAATCTCTGACGCATTGTTAAAAATCCAAACAATGTAAATTATATGTCGATAGTTGAAACCTATCGTATATTAGCTAAAATAATACATGTATTATTCTTACATTGTAAAAAGTTGTATACATTGTGTTATGTTGTAAATAAATCACTATTTATATTGTACACTGAAAATAAAACAACGTACAAGTAACACCCTTGAAACATAATATCATAAATAAGTCCTAACTTTTATTGTTATATAACGCAAGCGAAGAGAACAAGTAATTGTTTACGCCCTAGATTTTTTATCTAACTCGTGAGATTTTACGAGATTTTACGAGGAAACTGAACAAGCATGCATGTTACATCTGTATCAATCTAAACCATAGTAACATATGTTAATGTTTCTTATCTTTGTTACATGTTTTATAGCAGACATTTGTGACAAAGGGAAAACGGTAATTGATTAAGAAGTTAGTGCATTCTACAGGAATTAAAATGAGCGCTATATAAATCTATACATCGCGCAGTGTTGAATACATATTTTTACATTTTAAACATTTTAAACTGATTTTTAACAGTGTTATTCTACAATTATTAGTTCTGAATTATAACGTTATTCCTTTGTTTTGACTGTCAAAGGCGGATGTATCAAAGCATGATCTAATAAATGATTCAACTTTCAGAACAGAGTGTGAGCCATTGATGATGATGTTTATGCAGGTTATGATTTTGTCTAGTATTTCAAAGACGTTTTCAAATAAACAAAATAATCATTTGCTTGTTGAACCGTATACCTATGTTTTCCTTTCTTTCTCTTCTAGATGCCCCTAGTGTATTGGAATTTAAGTATCAATGAGTGCGAAGCATTGTCTCTAATTCTAGGAATAGAATCATTGTGTTAAGCTATTTCTGCGAATGTGTTTATGACTTTTTTTCGTGCTGCTTCAAACAAAGTATTTTCATATGATATTATTGATTTGATTGTTTTCTAGGGATCACCTTTTAAACAGATTATTATTCTTCAAACCAGCAGATGTCAAATGCGCTTGGCTTTATAAAAAAAATGACCTTCGCTTCACTTTAGTGTTGTTATATTTTTCTGGTCGTCAACGTTAATAGCGATTTAGATTGAATACCGCTTAAGCCGGTGCTAGGGGGCATAATAGATGCTGCACTTTTCGTTTTTTTTCATAAACAATAATTTTTTCATATATTAATAATATTGTTGTCATTGGTTCCGAGAGATCACCTTTTTCATAATTTGAGCCGTACGTGTCACGACAAAACCAACATAATGGGTTTGCGACCAGCATGGGTCCAGACCAGCCTGCGCATCCGTGCAGTCTGATAAGGATCCATGCTGTTCGCTATCAGTTTCTCTACTTGTTATAGGGTTGGTAAGTGAACAGCATAGATCCTGATCAGACTGCGTGGATGCGCAGGCTGGCCTGGATCCATGCTTGTCGCAAACCCATTATGTTGGTTTTGTCATGGCACGGCTCTTTTAATGATAATTATGAGTATGCTCAACGTCTTTTTGTTAGTGTTGTTTTTTGATTTTTGTTGTTTTTTTGTTGTTGTTATTTCAAGTAATATTTTCTATATCCAGGAAACACTGTCCATGTCGATGACTTACTCTTTAGATGCCGTTTAAAGTAAGGATTTGTGTACAAAATCAACATTATAACGCCATCAATGGTTGAAATGCAAACAGTACCTGTAGATTTATGTTACTCTCAACCCACCTTCTACAGACTTTGCGGGAAAAATAAATGTATTCCATGGCGTCAGAAATGCCGTGAGTACAAATTAGAATGTCATATCATTTTATAACAGATATTGAGTGATACATTTTAAAACATTCGATGTTATCTTAACGCGTAACTGTATAACATATGTTAATTTATTTCTATTAATGTGCAGATAATTGACAATCAGTTAGTTTCTTATGCATCAGCTACTATCTACGGTCTTATAGTACAGTACAGTCCTGTAATAGTATTGAATCATATACTTAACAAAAGCTTATACGACTATATATCGCTTATTGTGTGAATCGGTTCAGAATTGTGCTTTCTGGATGCCGTTGGCACTGGGTTGTGTCGGGGTTGCATCGTAAATGTAGCCCGTTATTTAAACATTTTAAATGGTAGCAACTTGAGGCATTAGTCTGAACGTTATATTTTGAAATTATGCCATTTTTTTAAACTTACAATTTTTGTCAAAATCGCTTATTTAAAAGTTTTAAAATTATGAAATTTTCAAAATGAAACATGGACTACCCTGATTTGTTTAGGATTAATTTCCCTTTCTTACTTAAAGTACTTATAAATATCGGTTACATTTCCCTAAACTGACGACCTGAAACACCGCATGCGTTGCTCTTGATCTAAGTTTTATAATAATAATAATAATAATAAAGACTTTATTTAACGAGAGAACTCATTTGAACAAACATATCAATCTTCAACAAGGAACAATATAAATTTAACATTTTCAAACATTTAAAGTTAAGCATTGTACAACTTACTATCAAGACGTCTATATTAAAACTTAATATACATGTATATATTTTTATTATTTTTAATAACATGTTGTGGAATAATATAATAAAAAAAGTTTATCAATAGATTGTATAATAACATTTAAATGAAAAAAGATATACTTAAAATTAATTTGCGTTTCCGAACAAAAGTAAGATTATTTTGTGCTTTTTACCAAAGTGATCATTTGAACATTTTGTCTAGGCAACCATTACAATTACAGCTTGCAATGAACTATCGGAGTTCCAATGTACACTTGGAAACTGTATTCCTCTAGAACTGAAATGCGATGGATTAAGGCATTGTTTGTATGGTGACGATGAAGAAAATTGCTACATGGATAACAAAACTGAAGGTAAATACTAGCAATACATTTCTATGAGTCTGTCTACATTTTGTTGAACTATAATATATACAAATAGTTAAAAGGACTCTATTCAAGATTGCGCAAAGGTTGAAATTAAAATTATCGCAGCCTCGGTTTCATTGAACCTATTCATAAGCAGCAGAATTTTATAAGTTTTACCACTATAAATGCCTCCCCCAACCTATTTGCTATTCTATAAATATTAGATTAGTTTGTAGTCATGTCCGTTTAGCTCTATTTAAATAGCGAAACTCTCTTAAAATAATCGTATTGTCGCATGCTTTTTCTTAAAGGCCAATTATACCCTAGAAATGCTTTTTTATTTTCATTTCTCAAAAGTATTTTTCTTATTTTTGGTGTGATGTTACAGTTTCGAAAAAAAGATACTCAATGTCCTTTTACTTGATTCTCCTTTTGCTTCCATTGCTTTATTGTCAATTAGATCAGTTATAAAGTGATATATAGCATTTTGTATGGAAGTCAAAATACTAAATTTTGCTATTTTTATGACAATGTCACTTTCCTCCAGGAATAACTAATAAGCATATAACATGCTCTATAACAGTTATTTATACAGTATAATGCTCAAGTTTTAGAAGAAGGAAAAATTAATTAAGTTTTGAGGCATAATGTGCCTTTAAAGAAACACAATATTGGTAATTATTGGTAAATATAAATCAAACAGGTGGTAGATTCGTATAACTAATTTTTTATCTCACTATAGTTATTGTATATGTTTACGAAGTGTTATAATTATAATAATTATAACTTACCCCGTGTCTTTCACTTCAGCAACAGAAAAACGCATAAGTGCAACAACTGAAAGTTATGATAAAGTCAAATCGGTCACAGAGGATGGTTTATCAGCTCCACTTGTAGTTATAATTGCGTCCGTCTGTGTGTTCGTTTGTATACTAATGGTATTCCTGTTGTATTTATTCCTTGCAAGGCGACAGAAAAACAACACATCCAGAGAATCACAGTCAGGTATTTATCTAATTTAATATATTCACAAAAAAATAACATTGAAACCAATTTTGTGTCACGTTTAATTTACATTCGTGGCACCCAGCCTTATACTTTCACCCATGACTACGCAACTCATGAGTTTATCACCTCTGGTGTTCTATCTATGAAAAAATAATTATCTCCATATTGCGCTAAATCTGAAGGTAAGGCATTGCAAAGTTTCAGTTAACTACCGGAAACATTAAATTCAATACTATATTGTATATTCAAGAAGATAACGTATTTTGTTTCACATTAAAATACACTATAGTGACTTGAATACTAATATTCTGAATAATTTGGTTTATCCAAATAGAAGTTGATATTTTTTGTTGAAATTGTCAAATATTTTTCGTAAAGATTATAGTTCACGAACGCGTACAGACCACTACGTAATATTTTATTGACTTTTCATAACCGATTGTTAATGTTTTTGTTTGTACTTTTTTTCTTTCATCCTCATATTACAGGTCATAAACGTTTAAAGCATACTTTAATCACTGTTAAAAGCCTCTCGCAGACTATATACCTGTAGTTGGATGTCATCTACCCTAACAATGGCTTGACCCCGGTAGCACTCAAAACTTTGACTTATTTTGACAGGGCAATCAAATGCCTTGAAGGCCACTATTCAAAAATAAAAGGCTCATCTATGAATTTAAAAGAAATGAGCCGCGTCACGACAAAACCATCGTAATGAGTTTGCGACCAGCATGGATTCAAACCAACCTGTGCATCCGCGCAGTCTGATCAGGATCCATGCTGTTCGTTTACCAACCCTATAACAAGTAGAGAAACTGATAGCGAACAGCATGGATCCTGATCCGATTGCGTGGATGCCCAGGCTGATCTGGATCCATGCCTGTCGCAAACGCACTACGTTGGTTTTGTCGTGACGCGGCTCAACTATTTTCCGAATATTTCAGCGACACAACCACTTCGTAAGAGTTACATAACATCAGATTCAGAGGCTGTCAGTTTGGCCATACCAGCAAAACACTGCTCTAATGAAAAGACATACACAGCACGGAAACCAGGAGCAACTGACTATTTACCAGTGAGTGTTCAAAATGACCAAGCCGAGTACCAGATAGATAATCACGTGATACACTATGATGACGAATCAAAATATTCTAGCGCTAAACACACTCAACATGAATATAACAAAAGAGGGAGAACAAACTTAGCCATAAATCCTGGTGCTGAAATATATACTATTGATCCTTCAAATGAATCTAAAGTCAGTGGTTTAGGAAAGTATACGTTTAAACCGAGATTAAAGTATTTGAAAAGTAAACCTTACGATGAAATAGATGAAAAAGATAGAGAAAAATTATATGTAATAAATAGTTATAAACATTGCTCTGGTAAAAGTATTGTACCAGAGACTTTAACATTCGACAAGGATCCCCAGAAATTTTCAGACACATTTGCAACAGACTTATTGTGCTCTTCTACGCCAAGACAACCAGTGAGACACTCCATGCAGAATAACTTGAGGAATTCATTGGAAAGCATAGCTTCTCTAAGTGACGTGGAAATAACATGAGTATTTATAAATGTCCCACGCACAACAACACCAGAATGCTATACTATGCAGCGAAAATCACAGTGCCGGTTTGATATTGTTTTGGTTTTCAATTGATAACAAAGAGTCTTAACAGAAAGATGGGGAAGTTTATTCGTGTTGCAATATTTTATTGCATAAGATCTTAATTAAAGCAGCCTTCGGTTTTTCTATAGGTTTAATTTGTGATTTTTTGATTAACTATTTCATATGAGTCGCGTCACGACAAAACCAACGTAATGTGTTTGCGACCAGCATGGATCCAAACTGGTCTGCGCATCCGCGCATTCTGATCAGGGCTTACCAACTATTTTACAAGTAGAGAAACTGATAGCGAACAGCATGGATCCTGATCAGAATGCGCGGATGCGCAGGCTGGTCTGGACCCATGCTGGTCGCTCGCAAACGCACTATGTTGGTTTCGTCATGACGCGGCTCATATAATTGTCAGATCAAAAGTATTAGCATAGAAAATGCATAAACAATACGGAAACCTCTCGATAGGTTTGGTCTCTTTAGTGGACGATTTGTTTCCCGATCTATTTTTAGAAACGAACGCGTTATAAATAGCTCTTTGGACTCTGTTTTGAAAAGCTTTTAAAACATTGTTATGATGCACTTTTTCAAGATAAAATTACTGAAATATTAAGTTTGAAACAACATAGAATTGTTTGTTTTTTTTGCAATAGAAAATAAAAGTTGAGTACCGCTTTAAAGAATGATAAAGCTCTCAATGTATAAAGCATCGATTTATGTACGGTGTTAATGTAAAGGAAGTTGACAGGTTAGGCCTATATGACGTCAGAAATGTCAATGAAATGGTGTCAACTAATCTATTTTTTATTTTCTGAATTTAACTCAACATTTTCCTATCTATTTCCTTTTTATTTATACTTTTTCTATGAGCATGTAAGTTAATAATACACATGTAGTTACATTTTGCCTTGCTGTATCAAATAATACTACACAATCTGGCGTTTTGATAATATATACTCAATCACTCAGACACCAGGACCTCCATATTATATAACTCGTACCGTATAATATTATTGGACTTTAAATTCAAAATCGATGTGCATTTCCTATTGTAAAGGTTTTATTATTCTATCTAAACTTCGAGTGATTCACAATATCTTACGTCATAAATATAGCAATGGGCTTAACATTTTATATTATGGAATACAAGTTAATGCAAATCACCTTTAATCTAGGTGTTTTATAAACATATGTTTTACAGCTGGTTAAACAATGTTATACATTAAAATGCTGTTTTATTTAAATTATGACTGTAATAAGTTGCAATGAATTAGATTCAACATTTTAAAGTAGTATTGTTTTAAATGAACCGTTGTAACATATTTGCGTTTGACATACACACGTAAGTTTCATATTCAATTTTAAGATGTTTTTTGTAGTACAGTTTTGTGAATTGGGCTGTTGTACATAGTTCATCTGTACATCTCTGACAGGAAAATATTATATTTTTTTGTTTTGTAAATTCATGTTTAAATATCTTTACATTAAATATCTTGTGCTCTGATATGATAAACCTGTTGTTCAAATGAAGAAATACAAATATTTTAAGTTATAGAACGCATGACTTAAATAGATATGGTCGAATTAAACCATTTCGGCAAATAATGATATTTTTTCGGTAAAAAAATTCCCCATCCTAAAATATGATAAGTGTGTCTTATTAATATAACATTTCTTGTATTTTCTTGTAAGTATTTATTATGTTGTAAGCAACCCGAACATAGTTTTATGTATATGTATTCCCTTATTCAAACAAGCACATCAATTAGGAGAGTAAAGCATATTTCGTATGAAAAAATATTTTCTTTTTATAATATTATATATATTGAATATTTACTGTTTTCGTTTACTGAGAAATAATACGCCCGCATTTTCACCTTTTTGCATTCTGATATTATTCTGTAAGTTGGGTAGGTCTTTGAAAACGAAAACAAATAGTTGTATCATAGTTTGGGGATCTTTCTGTTGAAAATGTGTCAGAGTTAAATCATATACATGTACATGCACAGTGCGTTAACCGGAGTGCAGGTAATAGTTACCCGCTCTCCAGAGCATGCCCATTGATTGGCACATTTTTGCTTGGGTTTACTTATTTTAACGGCAGAGAAAGGGAAAGTGATAGAAATTTCATATTTAGATGCTCGTTTATTGGTTACTTATTTTCTTGGGTTTCATATTGTGACAACAGGGAACGTGCTTTTATGTTTGACTATGATACAAAAGAGAAAGAACATCAGAACACTTGGCAAGCTGATTAATACTCGGGGGCGTAGCCGCCTTCGTACATATCAGATAGCTTCGTGTTTCGATGCTCTTTTTATTACTTCAACATTACAGAGTCGGTTTTATTAAGACTTTTCATGACATATAATTGACAGAACAACATACCATAAGCGGTTTTTAATCCTCAATTAAATGAACCCCGGAGGATACGTAAATATCTACTGGTCAGAGACAACCAAATCCGGACAACCATCAAACAATTTAGTTATGGTTGTCAATCAATCAGTCGATTTTCATCAACAATAAATGCATACTTCTTCTCTAATAATCTAGTAATTAAATTTATTTCAACAATCGTAAACGGTAATATTTTAACGTCTATTTCAAGAACATTGACGTTGAAAATTTTGACGTCAAGATTGCTGTACCTGACTTCTTTATACTAACTATCATCATTTGCAGAGTGCACAATAGAATATCCAAAACTTCAGCATTTTGTTGCTGAAATATTGTACATGATGTTAGAAATGAAAAATTAAGACACCCATGTTGTATATGGATTATATTTATGTATAAAATGCAAGGCAACAATTTCTACAAAAAGCTTTTTACGTTGTAAAAACAATCGTTTTATTTCTTCATTTTTATTAGCGTAATCGTTTTTTTTGTCTTTTATGTTTTGCAATAAAATATTGTTTTGTAGCCAGCTAGCCAAAAACTTGCTGTATCTTTATATAAATTATTTGCTTTTTTTCTAGTCAGTTAAAATTGTTCACAATTTTATATGGTTTCCCGCCTAAAATTCTACTTAAACATGTGCATTGTATTGAGTTATTATTACATAATATTTATACCGTTATTTTGTTACAACTACTGTGTTTCTAAAAATATAATAATTGGGGAAAAACTGATCTATTGTTTGTTGTACTACATCCCGATATTATTTATTCCACAACATATCGAGCATTTTCGTATTCACTTAACCACAAAACTACCATTTAACTAATGGAAGGGAACTTCTGAACGGTGTGGTAGGAAACAAATTTGATACGTTAAGTATTTAAGTCTTAAGGCAAATTGTATTACACAACCGTCAGGTATTTTTCGCGAGTATATTTTTCGCTATATTCGCTTGCAATGAATATCGCGAAAAATAGAATCGCTCAATCACGTGTTGTTTGGTTTCAAATAAACTCCGATATCAGTCACTGTGGTAATTAAAACAATATTTATACAGAAGAGCCAACCACGTCATAAAGTATGCCAATTATTGCTTTCAATAACACTGACAAAAATACCGGGTATATTTGTATGCCCTTCTGAAAGATAATAATTTAGTCATTCACGGAAATATCGTAAACACATTCATGTTGCAGACCTCAACACCTGACAAGACTACTTCAGAATCATACACACAAAGTATTGTTGACTTACATACTCAAAACTTGGTAAGGATACATAACTGACTAATCCCTTTGTACAAAAATAATAGAATTTTATGTAAACGTTGCACTAGACACTTGAGTCGATATAGAAGTAAACAATCTTAACCATGAATGATCGGCCCCTAGGATGAAATTTATAACATACTCTTGTATCATAGTATTGAGACATTTCTGTTGAAAATGTGTCAGGCTTAAATCGTATACACATACATGGAGAGTGCGTTAACTGGAGTGCGGGTATTAGTTACCCGCACTCCCGGGCATGCCCACTGATTGGCTCATTTTTGCTGGGGTTTACATATTTTGACGGCAGGGAAAGGGAAAGCGATAGACATGTCATATTCAGATGTTTGTTCATTGGTTCATTTTTGCCGGGGTTTCATATTAGGACAACAGGGAACGCGCTTTTATGTTTGACTATAATACAAAAGAGAAAGAACACCAAAACACTCGGCTACGCCCCCTCGTAACAATCAGATAGCCTCGTGTTTCGGTACTCTTTCTATTACTTTGTATCATAGTTTGGAGACCTTTCTGTTGAAAATGTGTCAGGGTTAAATCGTTTACATATACATGCACAGTGCGTTAACTGGAGTGCGGGTATTAGTTACTCGCACTCCAGAGCATGCCTATTGATTGGCTCATTTTTGCTGGGGTTTACATATTGTGACGGCAGTGAAAGTGAAATCGACAGAAATGTCATATTTAGATGCTCGTTCATTGGTTCATTTTTGCCGGGGTTTTATATTGTAACAACAGGGAACGTGTTTTTATGGTTGACTATGATACAAAAGAGAAAGAACACCAAAACACTCGGTAATCTGATTAATACTCGGGGGGCTACGCCCCCTCGTACAAATCAGATAGCCTCGTGTTTCGGTGCTCTTTCTATTACTTATCCTATCGTCGTGTCAATAACTTGCACAAGTTTTATAACAATGATACAAAAACTGTAGTCAACAGATCTACAAGCATTTATTTAAATCGAAAAAAAAACGTATTGTAGACATCATGAAAGACACACTATTTTAAAGAGCAAAACAATCTGAATGGTTTGCATTCACAAGCATGATTTATACCATTCAGGATATTGCAAAACAATACCATAGATAGTAAAATAAAACAGCTTCTGTGTTCTAAATATAACATATCAAGGTATGGACTAAACGAATAACATTTGATCAAAGAAATATTAAACGATTCAAGAGTTTACAAATAAAACAATCACTATTATGAGTTATGCCCTTACATTAATAACCAAAATTATTCCAATCAACATTGCATTTCTGAAATAGTAAAATCCCAGGAAA